TTTTTTTTTTTTTTTTTTTTTTTGCTTAATTAACTATCACTGATACTGCAGTTGAAATTTTTAAAAAAAACAAACCTAATGCTACCCAGCACTGTAGTACTAGATTTACTCCAGCTAATGTCTTCTGAGTAATCACTGCTGAAGGTACTGGTGCAGAGACATCGTGAATAACAAATATTAATTTTGAAGTAAAATATTCTCTCCAGCAAGCTGACAGCTTTAAAAGCAAAGATGCAAAAAGCTGTATGTGCATTGTAGACCAAACAATAATGCATCCAATTGGAAGTTATCCCACTGTCTGAAATGGAGAACCTGGCTGATTCTTCAGTTAGCATTTGAAGATTCTTTTGATTTCTCAAAGCCAACATAACTATTCCAGCTGATGCTTTGGTAGTGAATGATTAAGTTCAGTTCACTTAACTTTCAGTGTATGCTCCGTGTTTTAGGATTGATCATATATGAGTGAATAGTCACTGTACAAGCCTTTCTTTGAATTTTCATTGCTCATACTCATCACCACTACTTTTGTAGCACTTCATGCTATCTGGATGCTCTTATTTCTTTAATAGAGGATGCTATAAACCTTACAACAAATATGTAAGATGATGCAGTTCTAATATTTATTGTGTTATGCCTGGCCCTTGAGTGTGACCAGTTAAACACTTTCTTATATTTTTGTTTTGTGTGTCTGTTTTCAGTGTTGAAATTCTGATGTTGCTGCAGTTTTCCTTCCTTCCACATGAGGAGGAAAAGGGATGAGCAAAATTCAAACCAACATCTATTTTTCTCTGTTTTACTTCATTATGTATGTTGCTGGAAGTTGTGTAAAAATTGGTCAAGTCCAATGAAAATAAAAAATGGATTTAAACTATTTGAGGGTCTTTGTCCAGTTTTTCTGATGCAAAAGCAAGGAAGCCTGTAAGAAAATGGACAGTTTGCCTTGAATAAATTAAACTTTTACTGACTACTACAGCTCCTGTAATCCTTATTAGGCTTGTAGATTTCCCTTCAGAAAGGAAAGCATCTTGTACAGCATCAAAATAAGAATAATTACTGGGAAAAAAATTAACAGACTACTCTAGCCGAACCTGCAACTGCAATAGGAGAAGAAAAGCATGGTTTTCAGGAACGCACTGTTAATGATACACAACATTTCATGTTAAAATAAGTGTTAAAATTCCACACAGGACAAGTGGGCAGTGTAAGAAGTCTAACACTTAAATAGTGGAAAGTAAAAAATAGAATTCCCACTAGAAGAGACTAGCACAATTTGTTAAACATCTGATCTAACAGTTGCACAAAGATGTTCCCAGCAGGAAAGACTACACCTATCCTTTTGTGAGTGAAGATGAAATAGGGCCTACTTGGAGGAAATTCACTACTAGACCAAATCTACTTGTCCTGCTCCTCCTACCTTCCATGCTGCTAGCCAGGGGAAAGGATGAAGGAAAATATTTAGCCTTCTTCCTCTACAAAATCAAGCCATCGTGATATGAAGAAAGGATAGAAAGTGGAGCAAGAAACCAGCCTGTCTATACAGCAAACTACTTTGAGTTGAAATTCAAAGAGGAATCGCAAGAAGTGGAAACGTTCATATATTACTATGAATAGGTATAAAATAGGCCTGTACAAAGCAGCAAGTATTTGCTTTGGATTCCACTGATACAGAAGGACAGTACTTTGATTTGGAGATTTGAATCATCCCCATTCAATTCGGACTAATCTGATCCAAAGATTTGGCACTGTTTGGAGATTTGGCCATTGACTAAACAGGCAGCAGTCCTCACCACACTGGACACAGCTGCCTCCAGCTAGCAAGTCTGTTGTAGTGGGTGGAGGGGGAAGCAAAGGCCTGTAGGGGAGGGAGGAATTGGGACAGGCTGGGCTAACCTGCCCAACTGATCGTGGGACTCGGGGAGGGGGATGCAGGTGCAGCAGTGCTGGGAGCAGGGGAGGGGTGTGGAAAGCAGAGCACGTGCAGCTCACTCCAGGGGGAAGGGGGCAAGCGGCAGCAGGACATAGCCTGCCAGCCAGGTCGGAGGGCACAGGATGCGAGCACAGCAGAGCTGGGAGTGGGGGCTATGCCCTGCTGCCACTTGCCCCCTTCCACCCAGAGCAAGGCATGCCTGCATGGCACCCCTGCCCCACCCTGGCTGGGCAAGTGGCAGCAGGGCATAGAAGGTGCTAGGAGTGGGAGCTGCCCCACCCACATTGTTAGCAAATAAAAACCTAGGATTCCAAACTAGCCCAGGGATTGACACAACACCTCATTCAATGAGTGACAGAAAAGCTTGATTCTGAATACTTGTAGTAAATAAAGTCAAGTGAGTCCAACCCAAATTAAAGTCCAGTAATTATCTATAAGGTGATGATTTCTCACCAGACAGGTGTCAAAGAGGCAGTCTGTTTCTCTTCAACTTCTTCAGTAAGTTGGGTGCATCAGCAACTGGTGTCGGAGAGATTTCTCACTCTTGAAGCATGCATGTGCTGTTTGCTGTTTTACTGCCTTTTTATACCCTTAGCTTAGCATACTCAAAGCATTCTTTTAGTTGTATAAATCAAGAGAGAGAGTCCCAAGCAGTAACTGACAGGAAAATCCTGTTAATTAACCTGCTCATTACTGGTGATCAGAAATTTCTAATTTGAATAAGTTACCTTCTTCAGTAACAAGAGGTTATCCAGTTTGGAACATATCAAGAAACTGATTAGCAGCCAGGAAAACCTATGTGTTTGGACTAAATCAGGAGGAGACATCTATTGCATATGGAGAATGTATTTTCCTGCATATAAACATGGGTTAGTTGCAAAAGAAACATTTACCATACTAATTAATCAAGGATAGACATTTCATATAGTTACACACCAGACGACTAGGAGCCTGCCTGAAGTCATCCTGTATGTAGCAAGATAAGCTGGAAGAAATACTTAATTATTTCTTCTTAGATAGCCTAACTATGAACTCACATCTTCTTGCATTATGCAGTTAGCATCAGCATTCTGTATTTTAAGTTGTATGAGTAGGCCCAAGCTTAGCACAAGTTTCGGAGTCATCAGCATCCCACCACCCCCTGGCCCAGCTGGACAAGCGGCAGCAGCGCCCACATCCTGCATCCCACATCCCTCCGCCCTGGCTGGGCAGGAAGTGGGCTATGCCCTGCTGCCACTTACCCACTTCTGCCCAGAGCAAGCCAAGCCTGCATCACCCCCAACCCCTCCCCACCCCCGTGCCCCAGTTGGGCAAGCGGCAGCAGGGCATAGCCTGCTCCCAGTGCTGCTGTGCCCGCATCCCTTGCCCTCCTCCCTGGCTGGGTAGCTTGCCCCAGCCCCACTCCCTCCAAGCCAAATCTCCTCCAAATCGAATTGGCTGCTGAAGCCTTGCACAGCCCTACTTTAAGAGTTGCATGAGAAAGAAAATCTGAAAGGCCAAAGTGCACACTGAAATACAGCTAGCAAGGAACATTTTTTTTGTTCATTTTTGCCTTCCACATCAGAACTAAAACAAAGGCCAGGAAAAGTATAGATCCTTTACTAAATGCAGAGCGTTTTAATAATGGATGATGCAGAGAAGGCTGAAATATCCTAATGTCTTTTTATTTGTCTTCACCAATAAGGAAAGCTACCAGATGACAAATGCATCTGATAGCAAGATGTTGGGAGACTAGCACCCTAGAGCAGTGGAAGAATTGATGGTTGGAAACCACCTAAAAACACCTAGCTTCTAAGTCAGCAAGACTAGATACAATGCAGAGTACTGAAAGAATTGCCTGAGGCAATTTCAGAGCCATTAGCTAGCTCTGTCATCTTAGTTCTCAGTGAGACATTTGAGGTCCTGGATGACTGGAAAAGGGCAAATATCATACCTATCTTTAAGACAGGGAAACAGAAAGAAGTGCAGATCAGTCTTGACTCTCAATACCTGGAAAAACCATGGAGCAGGTGATCAAGGAATCTATTGCTAAGCACCAGGAGGTGGAGAACAACGTGATCAGGAACAGACAACATGGATTCATCAAGAGGAAATCAGGTTGGTCAGACATGATTTGTTTCTATGACTAGGTGACATGCTTTGTGGACTGGGGGAGAGCTGTGGATGGGATTATACCTTGGCTTTAGCAAGGCTTTTAGCATTTTCCCATGACATTCTCATTTACTAAGCTAAGGAAATGAAAGGAAAGTACTGTTAATAGGGGTGCACCAATAAAGATTTTTTGGACCAATACCAATGGCTGATTATTAACAAGCCATATTGGCTGATACCAATCAGATTGCTGATATGCAAACCCAGCACCTTGGAGAGTAGTATCTGGCTCTGGGAAGTCTGTTGCGGGGAAGGAGGGGGGGCAGGCAGATTGAGGCCCCTGCAGTGAAGGAGGAGATGGGGTTGGTGCAGGGGCAGGGCACAGGACAATGCTGCAAGCGGGCGCAGGGGCATGTCCTGCTGAATGCTTGGGGGAGGCATGGGGGGCACATATCCCCTGGATCTGTGCGTGGGGCAAGGGCAGGTGGCAGCATTGGGGTGGGGGGCTACAAGGGACTACAGCCACCCCAAAATTTGTCAGCCCCCACTCCTAGCGCTGCCACCACCTGATCCAAGTGCAGCCCTGGCCTAGCCCTCCCAATGGGGAGAGTCTGGTGCTGACCCCCAGCCCACAACAGGCTGCCCTTGCCCCGCACACAGATCCAAGGGGGACACGTCCCCATGCCTCCCCTGAGCATACAGTGGGAGCTGCCCCCTCCCCATGCCCGTGCCTTTCAACACCTGTCTGGATCATCCCAGCCAATGACACACCCTTTGCTTCAGGAACCGAGTGGCCATCTTTTCTGTGACA